AAGCTAGGGTGCAGAGCTTGGGGGGAAAGTGGTACACTCTCATTGTCAAGGATGATTACACAAGGTGGAACCGTGTCTATTTCCTGAAGCACAAATCAGACGCAGCTGAGGCATTCGAGAGATACCTTGCCGAAAACCGGGCAAACGGTGCCCCGTCCGATGTCATGGTCGTGAGATCTGACAACGGAGGAGAGTTTTTTGAGGGAGAGATGGTGGGTGGACAGCGGTGTGGGCTCGCATGCGCACTGAGGGTTGTCCGCATCTACAAACGGCCATCGCGTCCAGTCAGAAGTGGTATTTACTGTAGTGCAGTACTGCTGTCGTCGGTTGCGATAAAATTATTCACAGCAGCACGCTCAAGTGAGCGGCGAACCGAGTGAAGGTTGTTCTACAGCCAGTGCAGTGGCAGCAGCATGTGCTCCCATACGTCGCACCCTGGCACATAGGGGAGTAAATCAGCGCCAACAAGAACATTGGGCGCCCACTAGTGTTGGGCGTGCACGTTCAACACCCTGACACAGTACTGTGCCGTGGAACCTGTCGAGTAATGGCGTCTCGTGAGAAGAGCGTTAGACCACCGTTTCTCGCGGCCAAGCCTTGGTTTCGGTTCATTCTCTTACTCGTCCTTGCTGCTCTGTAGATCGATGGAACGGCCGATATGCCAATCACTATCCGCGGGGCTGGGGGGACGGGCGACAGAGACAACGTCGTCCTGCGCGGCGATGGCACTAGTAGCCGGGTCTTCGAAGTCAAGCACGACTACTACATCATCGAGGTGCGAATGTATCGTCGGCTACGGCGCCACATACACTGTGGAAACACCATGACTACTGGACTGCGTATATTGTTGGTAGGCCAAGCGAAACCGCATATTCATATCGCTCATCGAGACCTGAAGAATTCCGAANCGCGCGGCGATGGCACTAGCAGCCGGGTCTTCGAAGTCAAGCACGACTACTACATCATTGAGGTGCGAATGTATCGTCGGCTACGGCGCCACATACACTGTGGAAACATCATGACTACTGGACTGCGTATATTGTTGGTAGGCCAAGCGAAACCGCATATTCATATCGCTCATCGAGACCTGAAGAATTCCGAAGGATGGGCCAAAGCGTGGTAGTCTTGTGGTGGTGAGAGGCCATAATGGGAACTGAAGCGCCGGCCCTTTGGAAACCCTACTGTAGGCACCGAATGAAGCAGCACACGCGAATACTCATACTTGCTCGGTGCCGCAGTCCAGCGATTATGTCGCCGAGTACGTGCGATGCATGACTGTTTCTGCTGCATTATCGTGCCCGTTGACGTTTGTCATATTTTGAAGTATCACGACTGATTCTAAAGGCATTTGCGAGCAAGGAGTGAAGAACATCATTACTCGACCATGCGTGTGGCGAACAACCAAGTATCAAACGCCTTGGTAATTCGAATAATCATTGCCTTGTCCGCTCGCCCCCGAACAGGACTTCACAGTGAACGGTAACGCGGAAGATGATCCAGACCGCGGGTCCGATTCCATCCAGGATTTGTGGCGCGATATACTCATCTACGCCACCGGTAGGAGATCTCCCAACCATGGCGTCGTTGTTTCGGTGTAGGCGGCGTTTTTTGTGGAAGTGATGTTATTGGTGTTGTTTCCGGTGCCAAGATTCTCCTGGGGCCCCATCCTAAGGTCGTTCCCAAACCTCCACAACGACGAGACCACAAAGGTACAATACCAGGTACGTGATGCTTTCAAAGGGAATCTATTGGCTGGACAAGTGGGCAGAGAGGTAACGTTTCTCGCTTTCGTTGTACAGTAGCCGGGCTTATCGACACGAATCACAGGCCAGTCGTCGCCCGTATCCGTTCATTGTTGGTTTACCCTGTCAACGCGGCATCGTCACCGTAGCTAAACAAAAGGTCGCCGGTACCTCAGGCCGCTGCTCCCTTGCCGCCTCCCTATTCACCCAGTTCGTTGCAACGTTGTATCGCGTGGAGATTGACCGTTGTTTCCACTCCCTGCCTCGGTCGACCAGGTGGGCGGGAGCCTACCGAAAGGGATGGGGGCTATGTTTCTGGCATAGACGGCCTGGTCATTCGCAACATGGCGATTGCCAATGCCGGTGGCGAGTGCATCCGCTTTCGCGGTAAGCGGAGAAGTGACAAATAGCGTTATCGTGGCACATACGGGATCTCTCGCTCGCAAGCGAAGTATAGTGACGAACTATTGGTTGTCAGATTCTTCCCCATGGTAATTGCGGTGTGCACTCGAAATCGTGAGCGGCGTGTGTCGCGGGCTTGAGTTTCTCGTGGTCGATCGTAGATACTGCGTCGAGGTCGCGCTACGTGCAATGCCCCTTGTCTACGCAAAGCCAACTGTTCTTCAAGCCGCCTCCTGTTGCGTCTCAGAGATCGAAGTCTGACTGCGTCTAGAGTGAACTCCAGCAGGCGGCACAAGCTGAAATCACTTTTGTTAACAAGAACTCTTCTCCCTCCGTCATTCGTGCTCTTCCTCCGTCCAACACGCGGCCGCTCCCCTGCCGCTGCCCGCCTTACCCCTCAAGACCACGTGACGTACGCCGAGGTGTACGGCAACACTATCACCGACTGCGGTAAGCTTCAGGCATAGCCTTTACCGGTGCCTCAGCACGAGCTCCACCCTATGGACACATCGGTGACACCAGACCTGGCGAAACTGTAGCACCCAACCACTAACCTCCTCCCTATCCTGTCTCTTGCTTTCCGACTCTTCCGTTTCCGTCTTCGTGCACCCAGGAATCTACGACTTCAGGTTCGAGTAGCTGCAATGCGCCCAGGCTCGACCTGATTCGACTTGAAGAGCGGCGTATTCCTGACCTGTCAAGCAACCTTTCCCGAGATACCCCGCGTTTCGTGTTTGCCGGTGGCGGGCCGGGGTGATTTGTTAGGTTGTTTGGTGGGGTGCGCAGCAAAACCCGTTGCAAGCAAACCCGTAAACAGTTTGTTGTGCGGGGTGGAAAAGAGAATAGTGTGCCCCCGCCCGCCTCGGAATTCCCCGTTGCAGTCACCGTAGGGCGTCACGCCCGCGCCTCTCGTTTGTATGTTCTGTTCTAATTCTTCTTCCCTCCACCCTTTCGTCTGTACCCTCCGCGTCATCTCGTTCCTCCGGCTCCCTCCTCCCCCGGGCTTCCACCCACCTGAAGGGAAGAAGACACTGACGGCAAGAACGGGGAAGGTGTATGTGAGTGGGACAAAACAACGATAGTGCTCTGGCGCAATTTATTCCCGGGGCAGGCGTACGGTTGCAGTCAACAAAGACAGGGGTTGCCGCACAGTTTGAAGCTTGACGGTGGTGTACCAACGTCCAACAGTTTGATTTCTACGGACACTAATCAAGAACCTTGCCGCGATGAGCGTCAACGATGCCCTTCTGAGGTTTCGTCGAAAATGTACGCTTCATGCTTGGTTTCCCCGCATGGGCCAGGCGCCTTTCGGAAGTGCGAAATGTTTTGGCAGCTTTCACCACTCATATAATCGTTGGAAAAAGCACCCAAGTCATGGTACAAGTGTGTGTGTGCTTCGACATCGTTAATGTCTCCCCTGTGACATGTTTCGATGATCAACTTGCAGATATCGGAACCTCGAGCAACCAGTGGGACGACGGTGACAATTGGAGTGACGGGCCGGACGTGTGCCAGGGTATCACCGTCCGTGACAACTTCATCAGGATGAGGGCAAGGGATAATAGAACCTCGTTATCATGCTTACCACGGAAGCAAATGTGCGCATTGATGTCATGGTGAATCACCGCACAACATTTTGTTTGGAACTGAAGTTTCTCATATGTCGTGCCGGAACCATACACCACAGCGTCATGTTGCGACGATCAACGCAGCCATCATAGCGGTTGACACGAGGTTGGTGATCTCAAATGAGCAGGCAGGTTCTGAACCGAGTCGAAAACGGCAGGAATTTGTTAGTTGCCGGGCTCGAAGCCCGACAACGACGTAGAGCGCAATTTTCCCCCAAGACGATCGCCCGTTGTGGTTTGATGCGTGGCGAGCTGGGGGGGAGGTGAGACTCTCAGCGATCTGCCAAAAGGGCGGTGTACTTGGTGAAGGCTGTCACGGTCGCTCCTCGCCGGGTACCAGAAGTCCGCCTTGTTCGCATGACCTCATGTTCGCTGCGTCGCCGTTACTGCGCTGTACTACTTCCATCAGGGTAACGAAGGTATTGAAGTGAAAGAAGGAACCGTTGACACCCTGATCGAGGGCAACGAGGTGTACATGCAATATGACGCTGACTCCGGAGGTGAGTTTGAGAGGCGAGGACAGAGAGATCAAACAGCTCCGGTTGTTGCCGAACAGTTCGGCGAGACATTGATTGATTGGAGTACGAAAGCATTGAGAAACAGTCTTGGACGCGGTTAAACACATACCTGGGACGCATCTTTAAGATTGCCTCAATCGTCACAGGAGAATCAACTTTGTCACAAGCCTTGATTACTCGTGCAGCATTGTACACGGTGCATCCGGCTTTCGCAAAACTTCTAATGGGAATTCGTCTTCTCACGGTGATGTCATCCACATTGCGAGGTTTTCCGGAGCACGAACATGTGTGCACCCAAACTCTAGGCGTTTCCGATAGCATAGGACTTTTCCCCTGAGATGCGTCTTCGCATCATCCTTCTGCGGGGGCACTGAAGCAGTCGCCAATGACACGAATAACAAAGAACGAAATCTCACCGCTTGTGGGCAGGCATCGGAAGCCGAGGTGACCGGAGCATCATCCGCTACAACTACATCGAAGACACGGACGGCGCGGGTGTCCGTTTAGGAGGCCACACGGTCGACGGCATTGAGTACGGCGCCAACAACCAGGTGCGTGTGGGACCCCAGCCGTACCGAGAGTTCCGAGTGTATGCGGTAGCAAGGTGCCACGGTTTCCCCCACACGGGGCGCGCTTGTTTTCGTGAGATTCAGTGGCTGGGCCAAGGAAGGTTCGTCCGAGGAAGTTTCATCTCACCCGAATATCTACTACTGCCGTCACCGTATCNAGCGCTTGTTTTCGTGACATTCAGTGGCTGGGCCAAGGAAGGTTCGTCCGAGGAAGTTTGATCTCACCCGAATATCTACTACTGCCGTCACCGTATCCAACAGTAAGGCGTTGCTCTCACCGTGAGCCAGATATTTGTTGACGCCCATCCTACCTCCGTTGAAATGCTAAATATTTCGCGCGGTTACACAGAGACGCTCCTACCTGTCGACGACTTCCCCAGGTCCCCCAGGAACTTGAACACGAGGGCAACATCGCTTCATCGCCGATTTTGGATAGAAACAGCAGTTGTTTCGAATCGGAGCATCTTCCCACGCATTGACTTGGAAAAGATAATACGGTGTCCAGCGAGTCCACATACAACATTCAGTGATGATTCAACGAACTCATACGTCAACCACAGCCTCCCGTTGCTCCTCCCACCCACCCCGGCCTTCTACCTATCCGGGCCGTTCGCGCATGCAACAGGTATACGAAAACACCATGGTCGACTGCCGGGCCTCCGGCATAAAAGTCATGGTTACTCCCCAGGGTCAGATCTGCGGCAACGACATCGAGGTTCCTGACACCGATGATGACGCCGACGTGAGTGTTGAGCCCTAGGTTGGCGACCGGTAGTTTTCCTAGCCTGCTGTTCTGGTGGGTACGTTACTCAAGCGTGGTGCGGCGCGTTACGGGGATCGATCACGACTATGGTGGAGACTTTTACAACTCGAACAAGGCCCGAGATCATGGGGGTAGGAGATGCTTTTCTGGCTTCCAAGGTTATCACCGAAACCTGACAAATGTTTTGAACATGACCCACAACACCCGTCTCGTTTGAGAAAGAATACACAAAAGGGGGTAGCAAGTGGCCAGTGTAGCTCGGTGCCGCGTCTGTCCCCACTGAACCACGTTCCATAATGATTGATTCAGAGAACAAGCAGGAGGGCGGCCCCCTCTGTCATTCCCCTGAGGTGAGCTCCGTCTTCCTCCCGCTCTCCCCTCTCTCTGCCTCCCCCTCGCTCTCCCACTCTCTCTCTCGCTCTCTTCTTGCACTGGGCGCCACAAACGCAGTACAACTATTCCGGAGGGACCTACTACTACGATCCGTTGATACCCTGTGACGCTTCGTCCACATCGGTGATATTGTCAACCTCTGCATCGGTAAGATCGAAACTCTTCTAGAATACACTACTAGCGAAAAGAGAGACCGAGACACGATGACGACAGCGCGTAGTGCGATCTACTTGTCAAGCTGGAGCTGTCCAGTCGATTTCCAGATGAAGGTCTGGGCCGTTCGATTTTTGCTTGGGGAACGAGACTCGTCCGTTGTCTCCTACGTGCTGCTTGTCATCATCACTCCGGAGAGGTCTTTCCGCGTTCTGGTATAAATCGGTTCGAATCGACCGTTGTTTGCATTTTGTCGTTTACATTGAAGTCGAAGCACCAGCAGCACCAGGTAACAGTAATTTCTGGCCGTTCCGCTCTGTTTGGACAGGTCGCCGCTTGGTCTAGTTGTTTCGTAGGCTCAATAGTTTTTCTGGCGCCCATGCATGGACAAATGCACAGGAGGGGAGTTGAACACCGCCGAGGCGTGTAGCTAGCGATTCGCCCTCTGGCGTGGAAAGGTTCGGTTCGTGCATGCATGTGCGTGTGCACTTGAGGGCAGGATATGTGCGAAGCCCTGCTCATGGGTTCAAGACGGAGGCATGCGCGCCGCACAATATGTCCATGGCCGACGCGATCACGGGCCTTAGTTTTTCAGCCAGAGATGCAATGATCGTGGGGTAGCTTTGTGCATGGGGAAAGCAGAGTACGCCCATAGCGATACTCCAGAAATGTGAGGATGGAAATGAACTACATGGAATTCGATGAACCCATCACCACACGCGCGTTATCGTTGCTGTGTGCCCAGGTGACCCCAACACCTGAGCCAACGACCGAGGCAACGACCGAGGCAATTGCCGAGGCAATGGACGAGGAATCGTCCGACCCAACGATCGAGCCAACAATCGCGCCAACGCCTGCGGCAACGACGGTGCCGACGCCTGAAGCCACGATCGCGCCAACGATCGCGTCAACGGCCGAGGCAACGATCGAGCCAACAATCGAGCCGACCCCTGCGGCAACGCTCCAGCCAACGTCCGAGCCAACGCCCGCGCCAACGATCGAGTTAACGACAGAGGAAACGATCGCGCCGACGATCGAGGTAACGACCGTGCCAACGCCCGAGCCAACGGCTGAAGCCACTATCGCGCCAACCGTCGCGTCAACGACCGAGGCAACGACAGAACCAACGCCCGAATCAACGGCCGAGGCATCACCCGGGGTAATGCCCGAGCCCACCGCTGAAACCGGTGAGTGCTACCGAGGATACGCCATTTCCCCTGCCCCTGCTGTATGCTACCACTCAATCCGAAGTATGTGGACCATTCGGATACAAAAGTGAAAATCCCAACGTGCCCCAAAACTCCAGACAGAACGACACCAATACTTTAAGGAAATCGACCGCGTTGTACCCTGGGTTGGGGAGTAAAACTTCAAATATGAGTCGGGAGTAGTATCCAACCATCATGAGTAACCCACACGCGCACAAAATCAGCCATCTGGCGGCGGCGTGCGTTTGAAGGCCTCCCAAGAAGGGCGACGTGAAGAAGGTGGTGGAGAAACAATACAGGGTACAAGAAATCTCAGTGCTCGAAAAGGAGCTCGTACACGAAGATAGGCTCTCTTGGCGTCGCCGTGCTATCGATTGGGCGGTCACGCCGAACACCATACATTATTGGTTCACAAGAGCAGGGGCAACTAGTAGCAGGAGTGAGGGTTCCACACAGATAGACAGACAGACAGACTGAACGGCGGGGAGAGCCGAAACGACACCAATGGTTGGGCTACGGTAACAACGGCGAGAAAGCAGAACCTGAGGGCTGTGTCAAGTATTGGCAGACTGTTTGACTGGGAAGTCCCAGTACTTCTTCCAAAATGAAAGGAGGTTGTGAATGATGCGGGAGTAGAGACGGATGGCCACGTGCTTGGTGTAGAATAACAGCAAGAAAACGTCACACACCGCTTGGCAGAAGGATGACTAGCAAATTGTGCAGCTTGATATTGAGCAAGTGGGCAACATGAACAGGAGGAAAACATAAGGCACCAAGTACACCGAA